ATACTTGTGCCTCTGTTCCCTCTGTTGTTAATTCATTATTGACTTAAGTGCTAGTACTCAAGGCATTGTTCCATAGATAATCTGCCTACAAGCCCTTTCGTCTAGAGTTCACGTTCCTCAAAGACAGAGACTGTGTCACCAATTTTAGCGTCCCCAGGGCCTAGCATCATGCTCAGAAGTGTCACATTCCTAAGCTGGAGGCCTTCCGGAGCTCTCATGCATCTCATGACTCCACTCTCTGGATATTTGAGTTCTGTCTTCACAGTATAAAGTCTTGGACCCAACCTGAACTATGCTAGCAAGCACTCCCCCAGCCATGTCCCCCAGCCCATGCTGCCACTTAACCCCCGTTTGTGATCAATGCACTTGTTTCTCCTAATAGAAGAAGCTCTTGTGAGTCCGGCCTGTGTGTGATTCATTGTTGTCTCCCACATGGCTGCCACAGTGTCTTTGTGCAAAGTAGGCGCTGAATAAATGCTTGTTGAGTGAGTGAATTCCCAAGCTCGCAGCTTAGGGATGGTGGCTAGTGTTATCTCCAAGTGAGAGTAGGCAAGGAGGTGCGTCCAATGAGCGGAGACAGGCCCCTTCAGAGGGATGCTGACATTTTAGTCCCTGTTCTATTGCTGTGGAGAGGCACCATGACCAAGGCAGTTCACAGCAGAAAGCATTTAGTTGGAGGCTTGCTTATGTTTTCAGAGGGCGCGTCCATGACCGTGTGGCGGGGGAACTTGGCAGTAAGCAAGCCAGACAGGCAAGGGGCTGCAGCTGTAGTAGTAGCTGAGAGCTTACATCTGATTCATAAGTGGGAGGAAGGGAGGAAAGGGGTAGGGAAGAGAAAGGAAGGCTGGGCCTGGTGTGGGTTTTGAACCCTCAAAGCCCACCTCCAGTGACAGACCTTTGACAACAAGGCCACACCTCTTAATTCTTTCTAAACAAATCCACCAACTGGGAATCAAGCATTCAGTTATCTGAGGCTGTGGGAGCCATTCTCATCAAAACCACTACAGCTGGCTACAGTCCTGGCCTCTTGTATTCATGGGGTCCTTCCTTGCCGTTCTCAAAACCCAAGGACCAGTGTGAAGGATGGAGTTTGTTGCTCACTTATTTGTGCTTTGGCTCCCACTGTGCTTGGACTGTCTTCTCCCTCGGGCTTGTGGCTCCCCACAGCTCTGCTTCCCCTGCCGGCCCTCCCTACGGAATGCTGAGGAATGTGTCCTGCTGCGCTCACAGTGGGGTTCTTACTGACCCGTGCTTTTTCTGGTGTGAGATTCAGTGAGCTGCTCTTGTGAGATCATGGTCTGAACTGTGCTGGGACCCTAGAAGATGGATACACACTGGTTTAGTGGGAAGGGCCAGGACCCACTGGTCCACCAAATTTGATTTGAGCCATTATTATTTTACATTTATCTATCTATTGTATGCATGTGTGTGCTTGTGTACTTGTCTGTCCATGTGTTTGTGTGTGTGTTTTGTCTGGGTGTGTGAATGCTAGATCATGAGGCGGTCAGAGGACAACTGAGGAAGCTGGTTCTCTCCTTCACCACGTTAGTTCCAGGGATCGAACTCACTGTAGTCTGGCTCGGTGGCAAAGCCTTTACCTATTGAGTTATGATTTGAGATATGGGTAAATACAAATTTAGGTCTAAGTGAGAAGAATATTTCGTCCGGGTGCTTGTGGAGCAAGCATCCTCTCTCTGGTTCTTGGTTGGCTTCCTGTATGTTGATGACAGGTTCCTTGTATCCTCCAGTCTTGGAGACAGTTCGTGAGGTTATTGTGACCACTTATCTGATGGAGAACTGTACTTAAGGCCACATATAGTGGCAGAAAAGAGAAGATCTATCTGCTTCCAAGCCTGTGGTGTGAAGTAGTGCATTTTAACTTCCGCGGCATGGCCTCTTTGTCTCTTGTCTGCTGAGAGCTCTGCAGGGCGTAATAGATTCCCACTGTGCTTCTCCTCTGCCTTTGAAGCTTTTTCAGTAACAAATGAAAGCTGTGGTTCCTTTTCTCCTTCTGCAGCTAGCTCTCCATAGGCCTCAAAGCAAGCAGCTCAGTTTTCAGGGCTGGGCTTGCGGCCCTACGATGTTTGCTAATAAGTAATAGTGGGAGAGAGAGAGAAAGAGGGAGGGAGGTTGGGTTGGGGGGGGGGAGAGAGAGAGAGAGAGAGAGAGAGAGAGAGAGAGAGAGATAGAGAGAGAGATTATACATTTAAGTGCTAGAAATTGAACCTAGGACCTGGTTCTTGTTAGGTAAGTACTCTTCCACTTAGCTACATCCCCAGCACCCCTTCACCCCCAACCCCTTTAAATCTAGAGATGAGGGGGTAAAGAGACAGCTCAGAAGTTAAAAGCACTGACTTGGGTTCAGTTCCCAGCACCCACATGGTAGTTCACAACCATCTGTAACCCTAGTTCCAGAGGACCCAGTGCCATCTTCTGGACTCCATGGGTACCAGGCACACAAATGGTGCACAGATATATGAGGCAAAGCAGCCATACATATAAAATCAATAATTAATAATAATGTTTTAAACCTGTAGAAGAAAGGCCCCTTCAGTAGGTTTGAAGTTGCCCCTAGCACAGCCTTCTAGAACCTTTACTCCTTCCAAGGCCTTGGCTGCTTCCTCTTCTGGTACTCTGTCTTTGTCTGCTTGGTGACAAGATTTGCCAGAAGCCATATAGACTTAGCCCAGCTGTGAGGAAAAGTAATCACCCTCCTCTGTCCCTGTGAAACTCTTGCTCTGCTGCTTTCTTTGGAATACTTATAGGGAGACCTTATCACTGCAGCCCCATGTCTAGACTTGGCTGTTTGCCCTCTCCTCCAGCCTATTATGACTGATCACTGAGTCTGTGGCATGGCAGGGCTGCCTCTGTGGGGCCAAGTATGACGAGATTGCTGGGGTGAATGATCAGTCACTGATGCTGGGGACGTCTGGGCTCATGGGACTCTGGCAGTGACTAATGGGAATACTTCCAGGAGGAACTAGGTTAGGTCATGATCTCAACAACTGGTTAGCTTTCTCCTGCCTATGGGAGGTAGTGAGTGGTGTTCTAGAGCTACAGGTCTTCCCGTGGGTGTTTATTGAGCACCTACTGGTGCCTTACCCTGTTCAGACTCAGCCTGCTGGGTTTCTGCAGACTTAGGCCCGAAGAAACATTTACTTTTGTATCAACGTCATGAACCAACATGTCCAGTGATACCCAGAATCATTAGAGAGAAGCATTATAGTAGTTTCCTGCTTCTGCTGTCTGTCTCTGTCTCTCTTTCTGTCTCTCTCTCTGTCTCTGTCTCTCTCTCTCTCTCTCTCTCTCTCACACACACACACTCACACACACACACACACACACATTTTTTTCAAAGCATTAAACTTTCAGATTTTTTTTTTTTAATATGTATAAATCTTGCCTGCGTGTGTGTCCGAGGTCACCGCGAGGGTGCTGGGAACTGAACCTGGTCTTCTGTATGACCAAGTGCTCTTAACCACTGAGCTAGCCCTTCACTTCCCTCACCCCCCCAATCTTCAAGGTGGGAGGGGGGTCGAACTTTATTCTGGTCTCATGGGACTATGTGTTCCTTTTTCTTTAGAGCTTTCAGAGGGTGCTGTGTACCCTTTGACATGTGATCTTCCTCTGTGGTAAGAGGTAACATCTCCCAATCTGACTCTGCCTTCCTCATCCTGTAGACTTCTGACTCAGGCTTCTGCTCAGTACCTTTTCTGATACTGTGACTTGGGCTTACTCACATAATCCAAGGTAATTTCCACTTCTCAATATTCTTTATTTGAGTGGTTTTCGACATGTGGGTCATGACCCTTTTCGGGGTCGAACAATCCTTTCTCAGGTCACATGTTAGATAGCCTGCATATCAGATATTTATATTACAATTCATAACAGTAGCAAAATTATAGCTGTGAAGTAACGAAAATAATGTTATGGTTTGGGGCCACCATACTGTGAGGAGCTGTTTAGTGGAGCACAGCGTTAGGAAGGTTGAGATCACGGCTTTATTTGATCACATTGTGAAGACAAGGTGACGGAGGTTCCGAGGATTGGGAGGTATATGTCTTGGGCGGGGGCACTATTTGGCCAACAATAGAGTATGCGTGGGAGGGTTTATAAATGGTTGAAATAAAGTGAAATAAAGTAGATTCTGAAATTGCAGTTGGATAGTGTAGAGGGGGAGGGGTTGGGGACTTTCAAAGTTGTTAGAGCAAGCATGATGAACACACATGTCTCAGTTGTGAGAGGAAGGAGCAGTAGGATGTAGGAGGGTGTCCTCCCTCAGAAGCGAGGTGCCAGGGGCTTTCCTTCTCCTCGAAGGCCAAGCTGAGTTTTTTAGGCAGTCTGTAGGCTCTGTCTTCCTCTGGAATTCAGGTAGGAGAACCCCACTGACATGGTCTTATCCTTCTGGGCAACTGTGGTCTTGCTACCTTCCATTCAAAGGCTCCTGCTGCTCCTGGGTGGTGGGAAAATGAATTCTCCAGAGAAAATGAGTCCCAGCCAGCTGGGCTGGGCTTTGGTGGCCCTGAAACCCCGGTCACACTGTTCACACAACCTCTCCAGAACACAATGTGTTGCTCACATTGAACACAATGACTCCCTAGGGATCGTCTTCCCTAGGGATCGTCTCGGGGCTCAGGGCCCTTGAATCTCTAGGAGGCGTGGAATGAGTGGAATGAGTCTGTGAGCAACACACTGGGATAGTGACAGCCACACCCCCTGAGAGCCCTCCCTCCGAGAACCTCCGAGGGGTATGTGTAGCTTTAAGAACACACTGGCATAAGCGGGGCTTCTGGGAACACTTAGGGAGTAAGTATGGTGTGGGGGGTGTGCCCAGTTCTAAGGAAGTTCACATTGCTCCTCAGTCTGTTTCAGTGGAAACTTTGTGGCTGTTCTCTGTTGCTTCCTCCTGGCACCTCTCTAGGGAGGTTCTGAAAGTAGAGTCAGGGATTGCTCTGGGGAAGGTCAAAGGTCCTTTGGCTGCTCTGATCTCCAGAGTTTGGGATAGAAGGCCAAGAAGGCCAGTGGATGGAGGCTGGACTGTCTCTGAGGAAGGACTGCTGCTTCTGAAGGGGCTGGATGAAGTCTTCCCTCCACAAGGACCCATGGACTTTGGATCAGTTACCTTTGGAGCCCCCCACCCCCACCCTTGGTCCTTTCCTTTGTGCTGCTGAGGTAGGTGTGGTGCGTGGGGCTTCCTGTTTAAGGTGAAGGGTAATAGGTGAAAGAGTGATTGGAACCCAAATATTTACAGGGAGTCTCCAACCTCCCCACCTACCAGACTTGGGGTTTGTCCCAAGCATGCTCCTTCCCTCTCCTGCCTTCTCTGCTTACCCTCCAGAGAGGGACAGTTAGAGGAAGCGTAGATAATTCTCAAGGGTCTCCCCAGGATCAGCAACAAACTCCAGAAGGCTCCATTGGTTTCTGTGGGGGAAAATTGAGGGCTGCAGCGGTGGAGTCCGGAGGCTTTCCACGCTGTGGCAGGTCCCACATGGGGAGGAGGTCTAAGGTTCCAACGGCCTGGAGGCGTTGGCGACGGCAGGCCCCAATAACATGAGGAAGTCCTTGGTTCCAAAAGGGTTCATTGTCATGGCGGATGGTGGTTGGATTTGGATGTACCCCCGTAAAACTCAGGGCAGTCCCGAGTTATACAGGGAAGGAGAAAGGGGGAGGATCTGGGGAGGCATGCTTAATTTGCCCCACCCTCTGGCCTTCATTAGTATGTAAATCCCTAGGCCCTGAGGCCTCTAGTCACACCCTCTACCTGTGCTCTTTGGGAGAGGCTGTAATGGCTGGCCTATGTGACTGAGTTTTATGGAGACTAGACTGTTTTTCAGGACCCTGGGTTCTAGGGGCACACCGAACTCCTGCCGGTTCTCAGGCAGAGTCTCGGGGTTCTAGGCAACTGCCCAGCCATGACCCAGAATACCCTTACACAATCCCACAGGTTCCTCTGTGGGAGGATCTTTTGTGAGGGAAGAGTGTCTGAGTGACAAGAGCCCCGAGGACAGTACAGAGCCTCTGTAGATTTGGGGGTATCCCCTTTTGGGTCAAATTGAGGGCACACTATTGAGACACAGTTGGAAGGGAAAGGTGTGGGCTTGGCTCTAGTCTACGCTAGGAATCCAAGGGGCCTGTTGCAGCCTGCCTGCCTCCCTGCCTGAGGAGGCTCAGGGAAGGTCCTTGGGGGATGGAGTCTTACACTTTAGATGGGTGTGGGTGGAGGAAGGCAGTAGATATATTTCAATTTAGATATAGAAGGACAGGAGGGAGGGGAGGAAGGAAAGAAGGAGAACAGGAAGGATGGGTGGGTTTCTCTTCCCTGGGTTCTTTGGGGGAACGTCTCAAAGAGGGCTTCATAGGGTAGGACTTGCTATTCCGTTCTCCATGAGGCTGGCTTGTGGATTGATAACTGGCTGGCTGAGGAGAGCTGAAAGATGCACTTGGTTGCGCTCGGTCTGCAGGAGCTGTGACCATGGTGGGATGGGTGAGCTTGAGACTTGGCTGCTGCTGCTTCTTCTCTTTCCCCAGCGGACCTTGTCTTAAAAGACTTAAAAGTTTGAGCCTGGCAGCTCATGCCTTTAATTCCAGCATTTGGGAGGCAGATGAGGCATGGGGGTGGGTTGGGGAGGGAATCTCAGAGTTCAGGGGCAGCCTGGTCTATAGAGCAAGTTCCAGGACAGCCAGGGATACACAGGGAAACTCTTAAAAACAAAACAAAACAAAGCAAAACAAAAAAAACTAAAGTTAATTCTGGTCCTGGTTTATGGTGAACCTTCCACAGTGGGTGCTGTTTGTCAGATAGAAAGGACAGGTAGCTCTGCCTAGGGAGCATTTGGGTAGGATTTGGCTTAGGGGTCTACACTGTGTACCTGCCAGTGACTCAGGGCAGCCTCTTGCATAGGATATGTCTTCCGACAGCACCCCATGGCTAGCCTAACTGGTCACTCGTGAATCCTGCTCCACCGTGCTCACTGCCACTCGGGTTCTTTGGACCTTCTTTTCTTGGCGTCTCTCTCCAGGAGAGAGACCCCAGTGATCACTGGTAGGGCCCCAGATCACTGCAAGTCTGAATATGTCATCTGAGAAATTGTTCCCAGCACTTGGGAGGCAGAAGCAGGTGGATTTCTGAGTTCGAAGCCAGCCTGGTCTACAGAGTGAGTTCCAGGACAGCCAGAGCTACACAGAGAAACCCTGTCTCAAAAAAAAAAAAGAGAAATTTAAGTCTGACCCTGGGAATTCTCTGCTCACTGCTCCTCTAGGAGCCATGATCCCAGAGTCTGTAGTGTCTATTTTGTTCCAATGCTAGAGTAAGTCTTCAGAAGCCGGCCGTATGGTACAGATCCAGAAGTAGCCTTCTCAGTCCTTTGGATGGTCATATAGTTTCAGGCTTTCAAGTTTATGTGTGTCCTTGTAGCTTCTCCTAAATCAAAGCAGTGGCATCCAGGGACCGTGACTAATGCTTTGCGGCTATGAGGTCCTTTAGTGTGGTAACGACTGTGAGAGTGTGGGGCCTGGAGGCCCAAGTGCCCAAGTCTGGCACGGCCCCATACTCAGTACATCTGGACAAGGACACTCAGAATAGCATCCACTGCAAGTCATTACCAGGGATAGGTGAGGCTCACCGCCCTACTCAGACCGATGAGCAAGTGGGCACCCTGTTTTGTTTTGGCTCCAGAGGTTGTAGGGAGGTCGGTGCTGCTTTCAACAGGACTGCTGGGTTTGCGAGATCGGAAAGCTGTATGTAACTGAAGAGTGACTCTCAGAAGGTACCTTTCAGAGACCCTGATAGTGTGTGGCTGTGGTGACTCTCACTGTAAGGCTAATGACCTGGCTGGCTGTGAAATCCATTTGGGATTTGGGTCTTTTCCATTTAGCCTCCCCTCAGGGACTGACCTGACCCAGGGGCTAATCTGAGAAAGGTCTCAGACCACAGGTCCTTTGCCTGGTTGTTTTCTAGCTGGGACTGATCGGGGTGGAGGTCAAGGACAGAGTAGCGGTTCGTAGAAAAGGGTGAGCTGGGTAACATAAAGGCTCTTGGATTGACGGAGCAGGAGCAGCAGCAGCAGCAGAAGCAGTACACTTAGTTCCCCCTAAGATTAGCTCCTATGCTGTAGGCAGAAGCAAACCCCAGCACCAGCGCTAGAGCTGCCATTGGGCTCTCAGCTGTCACGTGACAGGCTTATATAGATAGACTGTTGTGTTTTATAAAAAAAGAAAAGGAAGCCAGGGGTATGTTTGGTGGAGGAGTGGTATGGTGAGGTGGAAGGGGGTGCCTCTGTGGGCCCATGCTGCGGCATCCCTTCCCCCTGAGGTACCAGCCACAGGATGGGTATAGTATAGAATAGAGTTTATTTACACTCGTCCTAGTGATCCCTGGTCTTGTAACCGGTAGCCCAGGGCAGAGGGTCTCAAGCTAATCTCAAGTCTCACGAAGTGAGATAGTAGAAGAGGAGACCCGAGGCCACAAGACTACATGCGGTACAGCAGAGGGAGGCCTCCAGGGTTGCTGCTTCTGGGGAGGAGCCTCGAGACAGAGAACGCTTAGCCCGAGACTGGAAGATTGAATGCAACGTGGAGTCAGTGCAGAGAGATAATGCAGGCAGAGAGGCAACATCTGCTAAAGGCGGGGTCCAAAGACCCTGGGTTCTAGGTAAGAGTACAGACACAAGAAAATGGACTGAAGTGACAGCTGTTTACAGCTGGGTCCTCTCCGTGCAGCTCAGCTCCTTGCCTGTGGGCCAGGTCTGGTCTGGTAGCTTCTGAGTCTCAGGTTGGAGTTAAGAACACTTGGGAGAGTAGAGGTGAGAAAAGTGCCTAAAGTTCCTCTTCCTCCTCTTCCCCATCCTCCTCTTCCTCCTTCTCCTTCTCCTCCTCCTCCTTCCCCTCCCCCCCCTCCTTCTCCTCCCCCCCCCCCCCCTCCACTTCCCCTTCTTCCCCTCCGCCTCCTCCTCCCCTGAGGAAAAGCAACCAGGAGAGCATTCTGGCAGCTTTGGTCCCATGGGTAGGGACTGGGCTGGGAGAAGAAGTGCCATCTGCTCAGGGAATAAAGTCCACCTGTGGCTGTGTTTGCCTCACCTGGGTGCAGCTTCCTGCCTGCTGAGCTGTTCTGCCCAGCTGTGCTCCGAGGAGACTCAGCTGTGGCTCAGCGCAGGGGAATTTCCTGCTGTGACTGAGTCAAGAGCCTGCCTACACCAGGTACCTGGAATGGGGTAAGGAGTACCGTTGGCTCAGTTTGTCATCCGGTCTCCTCCCTCTGAGTAGAGAGAAAGTTTCAGGTACAGGTGGAGACACTGGTGCCCTGAGATTTTGCAGTCCTTCTGAGAGTATTGCCTGCTGGTTGTAAGACATTAGGAGCCTGCTGGTGAGATGGCTCAGTGGGGAAAATGGTGCTAACCCTGGTGATGACTTGAAATTAATGGCAGGAGAGAACCATATACGTACATATACCACAGATGTACAGATATGGCATATACATACATACACAAACATAAACACATAAATACATTTTTTTTTTAAAAAAAGCCAATTTACAGCTGGGTCCTCTCGGTGCAGCTTAGCTCCTTGCCTGTGGGCCAGGTCTGGTCTGGTCTGGTAGCTTCTGAGCCTCAGGTGGGATCACAGGTGTTGACCACCGTGCCAGTTTTTGTTTTTTAAAGATTTGTTTATTTTATGTATATGAGCACACTGTAGCTGTCTTCAGACACACCAGAAGAGGGCACCATATCCCATTATATATGGTTGTGAGCCACCACATGGTTGGGAATTGAACTCAGGACCTCTGGAAGAGCAGCCAGTGCTCTTAACTGCTGAGCCATCTCTCCAGCCCCATGCCTGCCTTTATACAGTGCTAAAACTTACAGCCTTGTGCGTGCCAGGCAAGCACTTTACCAACTGAGCTACATTCTCAGCCTTTAGACCTGGGTTTTGAGGTCTTCAGAAGGCACCCTAGACTGTTGTGTTAGCTTAGATGACCTCTCTACTCTTCTAGGGCCTGAGAACTTGCTGTCTCCTGGTGAGGTCTTACAGTCTCTGCCCTGGGAACAACAGAGAGGCTGAGCTGCTGGCGTCTAGATGGAAAGGAACTTAAGGGACCACCAGTCAGTGTTCATAGTCTGAGGGAATGGGCTTCCCCGGGGTTCAGTTTTGTGTTTTTGTTTTTAATTTATTACACTTATTTATTTGGATGGCAGCTGCACGTGCTGTGGCACACACAGGAAGGTCAGAGGGCAGCTTGCAGGAGTCAGTTCTCTCTCTTCACTATGTGGGTCTGAGAGGGAGCTGGGGTTCGCCGGCGTGGGGGGCAAGAAGAGCCTTACCTGCTGAGTGTCTTGGTGGCCTTGTTTGTAAAGTTGTGGTAAAATATGCAAAAGTGAACATTAACTATCTTAACCGTTTGTAAATGTCATTCAGTGACATTGAATTGGTTTGTGTCATTACAACATGACTATCCGCTCTGAAACTGTTTTCATCTTACACTGGACTTTGCACCCACTCACAGTGACTTCCCATTCCGCCCCCTCCCCGCCTCTGGCAACCTCCCTTCCGTTTTCTGATCCTGTAGGCACTCAGAGCTTGACCTCCATCTGTCTGTTTTGCTCCAGATTCTCCCCGAGGTGACAGTCCCAGGCAGCGATGCCAGGATGCCTGTCTCTACTGCCCTCCACCAAGATGGCAGTCAGGAGCGGCCACCAAGCCTAATGTCCACCACTTCTTCATCTGGCTCCTCCCGCGACAGCCACAGTGCCATGGAGGAGTCCACGGGCTCTGAGGCATCAGCCCAGAATGGGACAGGCTCCCCTTGGGGCCGGCATGTTCCCAATAGCAACAGCAACTCCAGCGGCTGGCTGAACATGAAGGGACCTCTCTCCCCATTCAACGGGCGTGCAGGGACAGGTCCTGCCCATCACAAGCTCAGCTATCTGGGCCGGGTGGTACGAGAGATCGTGGAAACAGAGCGTATGTATGTGCAGGACCTGCGGAGCATTGTGGAGGTGAGTGCTGAGGCTGGGCGGGGCGGGCCATCTCTTCAAGAGGCCAAGGATGCTGGCCTCCGGTGGCCCATCTCTTTAGTACAACCTGTCTCTATAAATTTGCTTCCCATTAGGCTGTGAGGAAGCTTTGGAACCTGCCGGGTGGGGACTCTTGGCCTATCATGCTTCCTTATGATACCAGGCCACATCAGTAGGATTGTAGAATTTCCTGCAGGGGCTTGGGGAGTGGGCGCTGGGATAGCACAGGGAGGGGGTTTAGTCTGACAAGGCAGACCTAAGTGCTCTGTAGGGATTAAACCTGGGTAGGGATCCAGGTTCCCTACTCGGCTATTTCGTGTCTGTGGAGCCTTGGGCATGTGCACAATGACTGGAGGGAGCCTTGGGCTCTTTGCCTGAAAATGGGTCAGGGATAGCAGAAGTAAAATATTTCATATTGTAGGGCACTTGGGGGAAGGTGACTTCCATTGAGGGACCTGCCTGGTGGGGAGGCAGGTGTGTGAGCTTGTTAGGGCTATGCACAAAACCTGTTCCGTTGACTTAAAGCAACACAAACGAATTCTCTTTCAGACTATTTGTTTTGATTAAGAAAAATGTGTAGGGCTGGTGAGATGGTTCAGTGGTTAACAGCACTCGACTGCTCTTCCAGAGGTCCTGAGTTCAATTCCCAGCAGCCACATGGTGGCTCACAACCATCTGTAATGGGATCTGATTCCCTTTTTTGGTGTGCCTGAAGGCAGAGCACTCATATATGTAAAATACATGAATAAATAAACCTAAAAAGCTGGGCGTGGTGGTGCACGCATGCCTGCATTCTGGAGGCAGAGGCAGGCAGATCTCTGAATTTAAGGTCATCCTGGTCTGCAAATGGAGTTCCAGGACAGCCAGGGCTGTTACACAGAGAAAAACTCTGTTTCAAAAAAAACAAAAAGTACATATTTATGTGAGTGCATACACATGAGTGTATGTGCAGGTGTGTGTATATATGTTTCATCTTTAAGTGGTTCTGAGGATTGACCTCAGGTCACTAGACAAGAGTCTTTACCTGATGAGCCATTTCACTAGCCTCTTGGCTTTCTTTCTTCCTTTCTCTCTCTCTCTCTCTCTCTCTCTCTCTCTCTCTCTCTCTCTCTCTCTCTCTCTCTCTCTCTCCCTCTCTCCCCCTACCTCCCTCCCTCCCTCCCTCTCTCTCTCTCTCTCTCTCTCTCTCTCTCTCTCTCTCTCTCTCTCTCTCTCTTTCTCTTTCTTTCTTTCAGATAGGATTTTGCCGTGTAACGCCGGCTGGCCTTTAACTCAAGGCAGTTCTCATGGTTCTGCCTCCCGAGTAGCGGGTTTACAGACAGTCATGGTAAATTTTCTCTAGTGTCCTGTGGCTGCATTGGCCTGGCTTCTTCCCATCACAAGTTTTCTGGCAGTTTTCATCAGTGTCCTTTTCTCTGAGAAGGATACCAGCAATTAGACTTAGAGCCTCCTTAAATATTAAATGATGTCATCTTGAGCAATTTAACTAACGACAAAGACCCTGTCTCCAAATAAGGTTACATTCCAGGTTGCCAAGTGGATGTGTGCTTCTGGGTAAATACCCACCACTCAGTATAGTGGCACTGCCTGTGGAATTGGGTCATGGCAGAGTGAGGTGTGATTAGGGGTGTTAGGTGGTCAAGCCAAGGGGTACCGGGTCTTCACACCTCTCTCCATGCAGGACTACCTCTTGAAGATCATTGACACTCCTGGTCTCCTGAACCCAGAGCAAGTGAGCGCCCTCTTTGGGAACATAGAGAGCATATATGCACTCAACAGGTATGTGCTGGGCCTGTTTGCCTCGGGGTCTGGGGAGAATCTCTGGATGTCTGGACACGTGGGCCGTGACACATAGACCTGACTGTGGAGATGGGGAGTTGAGGTCGACCCTTGCACAAGATCTTGGCACTAGACTGGGAGAAGACACCAGCTGGCCTTTCTAGGGGTTTATAAATGGAGGTCACATGCTTGCAGGGTCCAGCACCTGGGCCGGTGTTAGGCCTTGAATGCTTGTGTGCTTCTTATGGGTGGCTCTTTTTTTTCTATGTCATCTTACATGTCTTAGAGTTTATCTCTCTTCTTTCCCATGGATCCCAAGGGAAGTAAGGACTCTCTGAAGGTCTGACCTGTTACAGTGGGTTCTCAGTTTGTGGGCTATGACCCCTTTGGCGAACCTTTGTCTCCAAATATTTACACTACAATTCATAACACTTGGAAAATTGCAGTTATGAAGTAGCAGTGAAAAAAAATTTGTAGTCCAGGTTGGGAGTCACCACAACATGAGACACTAAAGGGTCACAGCATTAGGATATCACACAGGCCAGGCAAAAAAGTGACGTTTGTGAAGATTCAATCTGCTGTTCTGGGACCACAGACACTCAGACGAAGATATTGTCAAGAAAAATAGTTTAACAAGCAGCAGTTAACAGAGCAGGACTCTTCCTCTGGTCCCTTGCAGCTGTGTGTAGTTAGAAGGGTAGGATACACAAAAGACCTAGGAAGGCGTAGAACGGGAAAGAGGAGGAAAACAAATGGAGAGGCAGTGTACCTCAAGTGCCTTCCCCCACTCCTGGCGCCCCCAGTGTCAGAGTGCTGAATCTCCTGTCTCTTTGCTTCCTGCACCCTTCCATCTGGGAACTGTCTTTGCTAGTTTCCTCTCTCTTTTTTCTCCTTTAATCTCTGCTTTTGTGTGTTTGACTCCTGCCTACAGAGGAGCTGTGTCCCCTCCCAAGGTGGGTACAGTGTTCTCTCTTCCTCTGCTGCTTGCTGTGCATGTGGGTCTCTGATTGTTTGTAGTGTTCTGAATACTTTCCGTGGTATTCCCGGGGGCAGGGTTTACTCAGGGTAGAAGCCATGACTCACAGCATGACATCAAGGATGACTGTGTTCTGTGTCTGAGGAGGTGGGCAGACAAGGGAGTATGTAGCTACAGAGGTGGGGGTCTAATGGTTTCTGTTCCCCGCCCCCCCCCCAGCCAGCTTCTCAGAGACCTGGACAGCTGCAATAGTGACCCTGTGGCAGTGGCCAGCTGCTTCGTGGAAAGGGTAAGAATGACTGGGTCTCCGCTCCTCCTGTTTCTCGGATAGGAGAGCCCAATATCAGAGGACACTTAAGTACTGGTCATCCCTGCCCAAGGCTGCTGGGTGGGTAGGATACCAAGATGACTCTGCAGGCTGTCAGGGATGGGGAGATAGTGTTCCCAGGAGTCGGGAACCTGCCCTTTCTCCTCCCCTTCCCCCGACCCTATGTCTAGTCCTGTGAGAATCTCCCTGAAATCATTTCGTTTTTTTGGTCTTTCCTTAGAGTCAAGAGTTTGATATATACACTCAGTATTGCAACAACTACCCCAAGTGAGTAATTTGGGGTAGAGACGGACAGCTGGGCCATTTGATGGGTGTGGAGTTCCTACCCCCTCACCAGACCTTCCCCAGATGGTAACACCCATTCCTACCCCTCCCAGCTCAGTGGCAGCCCTCACAGAGTGCATGCAAGACAAGCAGCAAGCCAAGTTCTTCCGAGACCGGCAGGAGCTGCTGCAGCATTCTTTGCCTCTCGGATCCTACCTGCTGAAGCCCGTCCAGCGCATCCTCAAGTACCACCTGCTGCTCCAGGTAGCTCAGGCCTTCTCCCTGGGTAGAAGATTTGGGTAGAAGATGAAGGACAGAGCCTTGGAATCCATTTTGCTCAGACAGCTGTCTTTTGTCTAGGAAATTGCCAAACACTTTGATGAAGAAGAGGATGGCTTTGAGGTGGTAGAGGATGCCATTGACACCATGACATGCGTGGCCTGGTACATCAATGACATGAAGAGGAGGCATGAACACGCAGTTCGGCTACAGGTCTTGCTGCTTGTCTTGCATGCACTCTGGGCTGGAAGGAGACAGGGCTTGAAAGAAGGAACATGGATTGTCGCTGTACTTGGCGTAGAAGCTGAGGAAGCCTTTGGGGTGGCGTCTGTGTGAGCTTCCTGGGAACAGTGGGGCCTGACTCTGGGTGTTGGTGGGGTCTCTACTGCAGGAGATCCAGTCACTGCTCATTAACTGGAAGGGACCAGACCTGACCACCTATGGGGAACTGGTCCTGGAAGCCACCTTTCGTGTACACCGTGTGCGCAATGAGAGAACGTTCTTCCTCTTTGACAAGATCCTGCTCATTACCAAGAAGCGAGGCGATCATTTCGTGTACAAGGATCACATTCCGGTAACTGTGCTGTCCTCTCTTCTGCTGCCTTCCCTCTTTCCCTGTGTCCCCTGGCTCCAGCTTCCTTCTCGCTTCACTGGGCTCCGCTGCCATCTGAGACTTGTCTCAAGGGTTGGGGTCCCCCTCTCTCCTGCTTAATTATCTTGCTCTCGGCCCCACAGTGCTCCTCACTGATGCTGATTGAGAACACGAGAGACTCTCTCTGCTTCACCGTCACCCACTATAAGCACAGCAAGCAACAGCACAGTATCCAGGTGAGGAGTGGCTTAGGTGAGGGGCTGGGGACTTCCAAGCATACTTGCATGTGACTTCCTGTTCCCTGGCTGCCCCATGCCCTAACATCTCCATCTGTAAAGTGAGATCATCAGGGGCCCCTCTCCGAGGTATAGACAGAAATCCCAGCACAGTCCCTCCTACTCTTTCTGCCCCTTGATAGAAGTACTGTGTGCGCTGGAGCTGGACAGTTTTGACCTAAAATAATAAACCGAGCTCCTTCCTCCTGTCCTAGGCCAAGACAGTGGAGGAGAAACGGAGCTGGACCCATCACATCAAGAGACTCATCCTGGAGAACCACCATGCCACCATACCCCAGAAGGTTAGCTCCTGGGGGCTTCTTAGCTCAGACGGGCTTCAGGGAAAGCATGTCCCCTGATCCAGCTCCCAAGAATATGCTGGAGCCTTTCTTCCTGGTTCCAGTGCACAGCAGATGTTAGAACTACAAATATACAGGCCATGGCATGAAACTGGGAGTGCTCTGGGCAGGCAAGGTGCAGTCAGGTAATTACTATGTGGGTTTCCTTTCCTTCCAGGCCAAGGAAGCCATCTTGGAAATGGACTCCTATTGTAAGTTACCCTTTTCTGCCTGTTTTGTCCCTAATTGTGTCTGTTGTTAAGTCATGCCATATCTTGAGCAAATCTTGTCTAATTCGTTTGTCTAGGAGCAAGGAGGATAGGGGCTCTTTCTGTCAAGGGCTGGGGATCAGTTGTGTAATTAGTGACATGGTTTGACCGAATGGCTGGGCTCTCAGTGCTTGAAGCAACCAATTGTAAGAAGATGGAAGATGGGAGACCTCTAGAGAGGCATCCAGGACCAACTGGAGCCGGTGTGGGTGAAGAATATGTCATCTGGTGTGGGCAGCTTCTAGTTAGGCCATTGGGGAACCAGAGGCCTAATTATTTCTCTCCTGGTTACAGATCCCAGTAGGTATCGCTGCAGCCCAGAGCGGATGAAAAAGGCTTGGTCCTCCCAGGATGAGGTGTCTACCCACGTGCGCCAAGGACGTCGGCAGTCTGGTAAGGGAGGGGCTGTGTGGACAAGAGCTTTCTTTATAGGATCCTGGCTCAGGCCGGGATCATCTGTAGCAGCATAGTGGGGCGTTGCTCTCTTCAAAAGACTGGGGAGGACAGCAGGGCCGGTTGGTGGATGTCTGTGGACCATTTCCTCTTTATGCCCGTGGCTGCTCTCCACCAGCCACCTCCTGTGCCCTCTGCTCACCAGGGCTGTCCACCTGCTCGAGGACCTGGGGATGTTTGTTATTCAGGATTTGGCATCTCTTCTTAGCGGTCTAAACCTCCTGCTCAGCCAGAGTTAGCACTTGGAGATCATGGATAGTTTCTCAGTTCAGGTCTCGAGTGACAGCAGAGGCTGGGTGGGAGGAAAAATGCTTAGACCGAGTGGCACCAAATCCAGACGGGAAATATTTATTTTGGGTCATGCCATTTTCCTCTCCTGGGTTTCCTTCCATGACGGGATTTGCAAATGTGTTCATGGAGTTATTAGAACGAAGTGTCTGTTTAGAAAGAGAAAACCTTCCCTTTTTACGCTTAGTTTTGTGATGGTGTGGGGTGGGGATGTTTCTGTGATTGATTCTTTTTTTTTGCTCTAATTTTTTCTGACTTAACAATAAGTCTGAGCCCCAGGAGCAGATCTGGATTAAGCTGTGGTGAGTCTGGGAATGAGATCCCTCCTACAGTAGCTTGGAAGAGATGCTTTTAGAGTAAGAATATTGTTTTGGTTGGATTCGCTAGTGTTTAGGTCTTGTTTGGCCACCACCTGCAGGGTCCTTGAACTCTTGGGATTGATATCTGAACTGTGGCCTTTGAGAACGTGGGGCCAGGTGGGAGCTTTCACTTTGCAATGTTTGGTATTTTTCCAGGTGGTTCCTTTCTAGGCCAACCTAATTTGGCTATTTAAATTTTATGATTAAAAGCCTCCAACTGGGGTGTTACTTTATTGGCCACAGGCCATCTGTATTTTTCTTCCCTTCTGTAATTCTCTCTCTTTCTCTCTAATGGTCCCTCTTAGCTTGCCTTAGCTTAGCACTAGAAGAGTCTAGCAATGGTAGTTTTTCCAGTTTCTTTGCTGGTACTTTGATAAAATACTCTCCCCAAAAGCACCTTAGGAGAGGAAAGGATTCATTCAGCTCACACCCTGTTGAGGGTAGTCAAGGCAGGAACTTAAGGTAGGCCCACTTACTATTTTATATATTACCTGTGACCAAGGAATTCACTTCACAGCTGAGAAGTACAGCAGGAACCATGGAGGAGGATGCTTGCTAGCTGACTCTCTATGGCTCATCTCAGATAGCTTCTTTATATAGCCAAGGGAATGATGCCTCCCACAGTGGGCTGTGTCCTACATTACTTAGCAATCAAGGCAGTCCCTCACAGACATGCCCACAGACCAATCTGATAAAGATAGTTACTCATTTGAGACTTTCAGGTGGTTCTAGGCTATGACAAGTTGGCAGTTAATGTTAACTAGGACAGCTGTGGTATTAATACCATGGTCTGTCATGACATCAGCATCAGAACTTTAGCTCTAAGAGATAGGGCTAGAGCTCAGTGGTAGAGCACTTGGCTAGTGTGCCAAGACCCTAGGTTCAAGTCCTCGGTATCGCAAAAGACAAAACGTGCCCCCCAGTCAGGTGGTGGTGGAGCACATCTTTAATCTAAATACTTGGGAGGCAGAGGCAGGTAGAGCTCTGAGTTCGAGGGCAGCCTGGTCTACAGAGTTCTAGGACCAGCCAGAATTATACAGAGAAAACCTGTCTCTAAAAGAGCAAAACATAAAAAGCCCCCCAAACTAGAAAAGCACCCATTGACACACGTGTACACACACACATACACCACACACACACATACCACCAGCTCTGAGGCATACATAGTTCTGTGAATGTACTTTATACAGATGGCATATATAGTGTGTGAATTATAGCTCAATAAAACTGACGCCTCAAGACTGTAGCTGTCCAGGATGGTTGGGAAGTGAGCAAATATAAAAGGCTGAGGTTTCCATGTGGCTGAGATTTTAGCCTGTGACTATTAAGAGAGTTGACTTTTTAAAGACTTGTTAATTTTTCCGAGACATGCCTCATCCTCGGGAGCCTTCTAGAAGACCACAGTTGCACTTTTCCTTTTCTGTAGCTGGTACTGCCTTGCTGCTGATGGTGCGAACTGCCAGATGTGATGGTGGCAGCACTGTGGGTTGCCATGGCAATGGCCTGTATTTGAGGTTCATGTTCTTCGTGACATTTCTCCCATAATGCCGAGGAGTGTCCATCCTCTTGGTACTAGCTTGTTCCCTAGTGTGTTTCTTCTTTCTCCTGTGTGGTAGAGATCAGCTGATGGATTTGGAGGAGCTATGTGTAAAAACAGACCTTGGAGTTGCAGACGGGAGGGACTTAGATCACATGCTACAGCTTAGGTGCCCAGGCTCAGGGTCTTTGCCGCCTCCTCCCCCTCTTCCTCCCTCCCGCTCACCCTCTTCCCTCTCCCTCCCGCTCCCCCTCCTCCTCCAGAGCTCTGTCAGGCGGACAAAGTCACTGTGGGATAAGATCTGTCATAGATTTTAAACCCTTAAATATTCTTTTTATAAGGTTTCAGCAGAAAGAATAGAACATTTCTATTTCTCACTTTGTTTCATTTAAAGTCTTTAAATTTACTACTACCTGTGTTTCTCTCTGTGTGTAATGTGTGTGTTCAAGTGCTATGGCATTTGAGTCATTTCCTTCCACCACCCGTGTCTGGACCAAACTCAGACCAGCACTTGCCTATCCTGATGAGCCCTCTCTCTCATTTCAAATGAGATGAGGAGAGGATGTGGTCGGGCTGGAGAGATGGCTCAGCGGTTAAGAGCACTGTCTGGTCTTCCAGAGGTCCTGAGTTCAATTCCCAGCAACCACTTGGTGGCTCACAACTGGTTTCAGATGCCCTCTTCTGGCATGCAGGTGTCCATACAGAGAGAGCACTCATGTACATAAAATCAGTGAAGAAAGAACCTGTTACGGTTCTGTTTAATCTCAAATTGGGGTTTCTACCCCACCTTAGATCAGTCAGTTCCAAGATAAGAGACACATAACCCTTATATTTATAATAAGCCTTAGTCAGCACCACCGCTGGACAGATATCTGCCCTCTGTGATATCATGTCGACTTTTGTATCAATAACCCTGAGTTATAATTTGCCTTGTTCTTTCTGAGCCGCTCATAAATCCAGTTGGCTGGCCCTTGTGGCCATGTTTTTGTGACTCACCTAACCCCATGGCGACCCCCCACCCCCCTTCTCTCTCTCCTCATGGTCCTTGCCTCTGACCCCAAGCCCCAGAGCCAAAAAAAAAAAAAACAAAAACAAAAAAACAACTATCTCCTGCCCAGCTATAGGCTATATAAGCAATTTTATCACCTATCAGAGATAACTTAGGGGGCAAGGTTACCTATCGTCACTTGAGTACTGCGGATTGTCCCGTCCCTGGGGGCAACCAGGCCTTGGGGGCCAGTATTTAGCATTACAACCTGTAGCAAAAGACCAACCGTCAACAAGGACCTGTAGTGGATTCCCCAGTATGCACAGTAAAAATCAGGCACAGCTGTCTGTGTCTCTGATTCCAGTGTTGGGGAGACAGAGTCAAAAGGATCCACGGGGCTTTCTGGATAGTCAGTCTAGCTGATGGGTGAGCTCTAGGCTCAGTGAGAGACCCTGCCTCAAAAAATAAGGTGGGGAGTTCCTGAGGAAGACATCGGATATTGACCTCTGGCCCTTCACATATATACAAATATATGCCTGTGCATGCGTGAGCACGAAACAACAGAAATGCAATTAGGAGCCAGAGGCTGTACTCGGTAGGGAGAGTGGTCATCTAGCATGTATGAACCCCTGGATTCAAGCCCGGCACCATGAAAAGCACGTGTGGTGGTGTGTTCTTGGAATCCCAGCACTTAGGAGGCGGAGACACGAGGGTCAGAGGTTCAAGGATATATTTGACGATGCATCAAATTTCAGGCCAGCAATGTGAGACCTTGTCTTTTCAAAAAACAATTAGGAGTTTACTTATGTGGATATAGAATGGGAATGTGCTGGTCTCAGTGTGTCCCCTTGAGGAGCAGCTAAAAGACCTCTGTAGACTTTGCTGTGACTCTTAAATTTACAGAAAAATCAGGAACATCCCTAAGCCGTCACATTTCATCAGTCAGGGTAGAGGTGGGCTGAGGGCTCTGTAAACGGGGCTTTTGAGACAGGATTCTCTTGTACTCCCCTTCCTGTCTCACATCTGTCCCCAGAAAGGCTGGGTACAAAGTGATGGCACCATTAGCCTAATAGTTGTGTTTTGTGTCCCCAGAACCTGGTCATACCCTGTTCAGCAGGGCAACATTTCCCAGCAGGCAGCAAGGATTCGAGATGCCAGGCCTTAAGGGCCGTAGAAAGTCGGGTGCGACCTCTGCTTCCCGGCCTGCATGCTATGAGGGGCTTGGTGTGGGGCAGAGCTATTGTGCTGCCTGTAACAGAGATAGAGGCGCTTGAGATAGAAGTGTGGTTAGTGGCTAGTGGGTCATGCGGGTAGCATGGGGTCCGTCTTTTCCACATGGCTCCTTAACTAAGGCCTTGGCTGGCACGCTAATACAAGGACTGAGCAGTTCACTGTGTGCTGCAGAGAGGCAGAGGTGGCTCAGGCCCCACCTGGGAGCCTCAGTAACATTGAAGAAGGCTTTCCTGAGGCTGGGGTTGGGGAGGATTGGGGGCCAGCTAGAGTGGACTTTGGGCTGGTGGTGGGCCTGTGATGAATTGAACTTGGGACCCAGATTAGGAGCAGCTGTTTCTTGGCCTGTGCTAACTACGCATTTGTGTTCTTCAGAGCCCACCAGACACCTGCTCAGGCAACTGAGTGAGAAAGGTGAGTGTGGGAAAAGCAGGCACGTCTCCCCAGGGATCCTCGGTGGGGTGGGAGGGTAAAGCAGCTAGGAACCTGGTTAGGGACTGTGGAGAATAGGGAGGATTTGACCTTAGTTCTTCACCCCTGCTGTCTGTAGAGAGCCATGCCCCCCCCACCCCCCGCCATCCATACTCTGTGCCCTCTTCCATTGGGATAGGAGCCTAGCAGCTTGCACAGATGAGGGCATCTTGTAATTAATCATTATCAAACATATAAAGCCTTTGATTAATCTATAAGAATTAGAGTCTCATTCTCTTACTGGGCCCGCATGAATGGCAGAATGGTCTGGGCAATGCCCTGCCTTGCGGAGACAGCGTGGAAGATTGGCAGAGCCATCTCTCACGCTGGCATCTAGTGGGTGGCAGGGCTGTTGTTTCTGGTGGGCCTGTTCTAGCTGCAGCGCGCATGTGGCCTCAGACCGAGAAACATGGCGGTTGGGCTAGTTGCACTGGTTCTATATTGGGCTCCTGAGCTGTCATTCATTCCTTTGAAAGCCAGGACTAGGTGTGGGGTTTGGGAGTGTAGGAGCCCATACGAGGCTTCCCCAGGGACTCTGGTCTCTCTAAAGAGGTTCTTTCTTTCTTCTCTTCTTCCCTGCCCCTCCCACCATGTACTTGTACCCCGTGGTGGTGTTAGCAGCCAGAGCAGCGGGAATGAAGGTGAGTGCAGGGGCTCCAAGGGCTGGAAGGAGGGACTGTGGGTGGCACTGTCCAGGTCCCTCCCCAGGGACCCTTTCATATCTAATTCCTTACAGCAGCACCCCATAGTGCCCTGCTTGGCCTGCATCCTCTCATTTTACCCTCTTGGGGTACATAGGCTTCTTTGGGGGGGGGGGAGATTTGATTCCTAACCAGATCTCAGCCTTCCCGCCACAAAATGCCTCACTCCAGAGAAGGCCAAGATTTTGCATTAAGGAGTAGATTTTTCTATGAAGCCATTTCTAGCCACTTACAAGAGGAAGGTTGCCCACAAGGCAGGTGACAAGGGGCTTTTATGCTCTGAACAGCATGCAGACAGTGCCGGAGCCCTCTTGGACTTTGGGCAGCCACCCCATGGCCAGGACCAGCAGCCAGAGGCTGAGGGGGCTGCCAGGGAGGAGCTTGAGGAAGCGGAGGAGGTAGTAGAAGAGGAAGAACAGCAGCAGCAGACCTTCCCGGTCTCCCTGGAGGACCTGGCAGGGCATGATGGCAGCGAGAAGGTGCCTGGGCCAGAGCTCCCGGGCTCGGAGGAGGAGGAAGAGGAGGAAGAGAGTCTAGCAGTGGCGGAGCAGGTAGCTGACTTTGCCAGCTCCCTGCTGGCCGCCCTCCACTGCTGGCACTATCGAGCCAACGCTTTACTTTTCTCCCGGGGTGCTATGGTGAGGTGTCTCTTTGATCTCCCTTCTTCCTTGCATGTTGTCTGGCATGTGCATGTCCTTCCCGTGTCCTTCCCACTTTCCCCTACACTGTCCCCTCCTTCCTGCTGTCAATACTTAACTCACTCACTGTCACACCCTGGTGAGCCCCTGGCATGCACTGTTCTAGGACTGGGTACCCACTGGTACACCTCCCCCTGACAAGGACTAACGGCGAGGGGGAGGGAGGGGAAAGCCAGTGTCCATTAAGTGTGAAGGTCAACTGACTGTGTCTGTGAGGGACTGTGGGGGAGGTGGGCTGGACTTTTCTAAAACTGCACACTTTGCAAGGATTTCTGTAGCCCCAGGCCTGGCAGTTCAGGCTGTTTGGAAGGGCTTGGACACAGGACAGGGTCAGTTCTGGAGGTGCTGTGTGTACCTCCTTGGGATATGGGAGGCAGCGTCCATGTTGGGATGGCATACAGAGATGACCGGTTCTCAGTTGTAAACTGACTTCTGCTTGCTGCAGGGGAAGAGACACAGGGAGTCTGAAGGCTCTAAAAGCTGCAGAAGGCCCAGTAACCGGTCTCCAACCAGTGCGGAGAAACGCATGAGCTTTGAGTCTGTTTCGTCCCTGCCAGAGGTGAGCGGTCAGCAGGTGAGAGGGAGCTAGCACACGGTAGCTGGAGTCCAGACCATAGGCAGGTCTTTGGGACGCAGGCTATCTCATTGGGTAAATGGAACAGGGACTCTCACTTCCTGGCCCTTGCCCCTTCCAGAGGCCTGGACAGCCTAGACGTGTGTGGTTTGGCAAACAGGTCTACCTGTTTCTATAACTTAAACAAAGGTGACCGTCACTGGGCCTCCTCAGACAGGCTGCCTGTGTAGGATATAAGGCATGCCCTGCTAGCTGCCTAAGCAAGGCCTGGGGCCACCTGGGCAAAGGGATAGAACGTGCGTATCCTTAGCATAGCTCTTGTCATTTTCTTCTGTTCCCTATAACCACTGCAGAAGGAAAAGAGGCATAGAGAGGCTGCTTGACAGGCTGCACAGTGGACAACATCTGAGGGAACCCAATTCCTTTACTTTCTCTAAGTTAGAAGAAACAAGGTCAAGAGCTAGACCCCAGGTTGAGCCTCAGCCAGGGCAGGGCTGAGGACCAAGGCGACACTAGATAAAAATATAGCTGTCTACTTAAGCTGCTAGAACAGCGTATCATAGATCAAGTGTTTATAAACAGGAATGTATCGTTCAGAGGAATGAGTCTGCCAAGCCCAAGATCAAGGCACCTCCAGCTTGTTCACCGTCTGAGGAGGATTCCCTCTGGACTTCAGCCACATTCTTGCTGTGTCCTCACAGCCAGGAAGCTTCCTTTAGCCTCTTTTCTGAGGCACAAGTATGGAGCTCTTATGGGGTAGTCACTTCCTAAAATCCCTGCCTGTTCATGTTATCACAGTGCACAGCGGGTTCCAAGATGAATTTTCTGGAATCCCATTAATGGTTCAGACCTTGACAGTTGTACTGTCAGGAATGACGATAGAATGTGATTTTCTAGAATCTACTCACGTGTTATCCATTGTACCACTAGCCCACTACATTTTATAGTAACCATGTTAAGGATTACAAAGAAGCTGGGCATGATGGCACACACTTATAATCTTAGTACCCGGGAAACAGAGACAAGAGAATTTGATTTTTTTTAGTTTATTTTATGTATATGAGTATACTGTAGCTGTTTCCAGACACACCAGAAGAGGGCATCAGATCCTTTACAGATGGTTGTGAGCCACCATGTGGTTGCTGGGAATTGAACTCAGGACCTCTGGAAGAGCAGTCAATGCTCTTAACCGCTGAGCCTTCTCTCCAGCCCAATAATTTGATTTTTTTTGTTTGTTTGTTTTGTTTTTTTGTTTTTCGAGACAGGGTTTCTCTGTGTAGCCCTGGCTGTCCTGGAACTCACTCTGTAGACCAGGCTGGCCTCGAACTCAGAAGAGAATTTGATATTTTAAGGCCAACTTCAGACACATAGCAAGTTTGAAGCCAGGGTGGGCTCTATGAGAACCTGTCTCAAAAGGTAAGGGGAAAAAAGTTAAATTAATTTTTTTTGAGTTTTTTTCTTTGTGTTTTGTTTTTCAAGACAGGGTTTCTCTGTGTAGCCCTGGCTGTCCTGGAACCCACTCTGTAGAGCAGGCTGGCCTCGAACTCAGAAATCCACCTGCCTCTGCCTCCCAAGTGCTGGGATTAAAGGCGTGCACCACCACTGCCCGGCAAAATTAATTTTAGTATCTTATTTTACATAGCCTACCAGAGCTAAAGTAAAATTACTGATATTTTGTTTTATACAAAGCCCACAAATCTGGATGTATCTTACATTCCTAACAGATTTTGATTTGGACTGGCATCATGTCAGATGCTCAGCCGGAATGGCTGGTGGCTACTGTGATGGGCAGCTCTGCAGGTTATGGGATCTGAAGTTTGCATCTGCACTGGTCTTCTCCCAGGAGACTGCAGTGGGAAGATACGTGTGTTAGCCAGCTTACTAGTATTCTCCTTGGGTTTGAGCGCTTGGGTGTGGGTCTGTCATCCAGCTGCAGGGTAACTAAAGGAATAAATGGACCTGGTGTCCTGTGTTTGAGTCATGTGCATTCTGATTGTCTTTGTCCTAAGCTGCAGACCTCTACCTAGCCTGAGAGCAGGCTGTGCCATCTTGTCCCCCAGCTCCACTCCTACCTAATATGTCCTCTGTTGTGTTCCAGGTTGAGACAGATCCTGAGCCTGGGGCCGAGCAGGAGGCCTTTACTACCTTAGAAGATCTCGACACTGAGGAGATGCCTTCAGACCCAGAATTTCCAGAAGCCCTGGAGACACAGCTTCATGCCCCCAAGGGGCTGCTAGGAGTGGACAACCCAGCTGGTGAGGTGGACTTTGTAGAGCCTGAGGGCTCTGAAGACCTTAAGGCCCTGAGTAGTGAGGAGGAAGAAGAGGAAGACATGGGAGCCGCCCAGGAACCCGAGAGCCTCCTGCCACCCTCTGTGTTGGACCAGGCCAGTGTCATTGCTGAGAGGTTTGCCAGTGGCTTCTCTCGGCGGAGCAGCCTGGCGATGGAGGATGGCAAGTCCAGTGGCCTCGGAACACCACGGCTTATCAGCCGGAGCAGCAGTGTGCTTAGCCTGGAGGGTAGTGAGAGGGGCCTAGCCCGATGGAGCAGCACTGGGGACTCCCTCAGCAACCCACCCACTCCAGAAGTGATCACTGGTGTAGACATGGTTACAGATAATGGCCCTTCTGTCAATGGGACAGACTCTCCAAGTGCAGGCTCAGGCTGCCCCACGGAACCGGACAGATCTTCCTGCAAGAAAAAGGAATCCACATTGTCTACCCGAGACCGACAGTTGCTGGACAAAATTAAGAACTACTATGAAAATGCAGAGCATCACGATGCAAACTTCAGCATCCGTCGGCGGGAGAGCCTCTCCTACATCCCTAAAGGACTGGTGCGCAGCTCTGTGTCCAGATTCAACAGCCTTCCCAAGCCAGATGCAGAGCCAGCAGCTCCAGTTGGGTACAAGAGGCTGGGGAGTTCTCGGCCAGCCTCATGGACCTTGTTTGACCTCCCAGGTCCCAGACAGACAGACGAAGGGGCCCCAACTCCCATCACAGATGAGGAGTTCCGCCCATCTTCAGAAATTGCGAAGATATGGGAAAGAATGGAATCTTCAGAGAGAAGTCCGCGGACGGGGTCTGGCCAGAGCCAGGCCAATGGCTTTGAGCTACAAGAGCCACTGTTCATCTTGGAGGAGCATGAGCTGGGAGCCATCACTGAGGAGTCTGCTTTTGCCTCTCCAGAAAGTGCCTCCCCCACCAAGCAACCCAGCCCAGCCCACCTGGCCCGGGAGCTGAAAGAGCTGATGAAAGAACTGAGCAGTGGTGTCCAGGGGGAGCTGGTTACCCCACTGCACCCCCGTATCGTGCAGCTCTCCCATGTGATGGACAGCCACGCGAGTGAGCGTGTCAAAAACAAGGTCTACCAGTTGGCCCGCCGGTACAGCCTCCGAATTAAGAACATCAAGGCAGCTAGGCCACCTCTACCGTGGGAAAAAGCCACTCCTGAGAAGGATGAACAAGTCCCTTCTGTTTCTGGCCTGCCGGAAGAAGCTGGAGAGCTGTCAGGGGGCAAAGGTACGGTGTGGGTATGGAGCTTGGGGTAGAAAAACCGATTAGATCCAGTGCTTTTTGGGGAGAGTAACCTCTAAAGAGGTTATACCATGAGAGGGCTGGACCCCAAGCACCGCATGGTATACAGTGAGCCTTGGCACTGAAGGGCCATCCTACGCTCCTGACGCCTCAGTCTGTCCCCTCCTCTCTCTTCCCCAGCTCTTCCAGGTGAGCAGAGGGAGTTTGGAGAACAAGCCAGGGGCTCATTCCATACGAAGATGAGAGCAGAGGGGCAGATGGGATCTCTCTTCCAGCATACCCCAGTCCCCACACACAGCTGAAGACGGTTCCCCCCCTCACCCTTTCTGTCCCACATCTTCCTTCACAGTGGTTCACGTAGCTTGCTCTCTTTCTTCCCAGCCAGGAGGAAGCCTGTGCTATCCCTCCTCAGCTATGAGCAGCTGGTGGCTCAAGAGCAGGGCACCTCCAAGTCTTCCTCTGCTGTGGAGACCTCTCCACGCCGTTTCTCCTTCAGCCCTTCTGCTGTCAGCCCAAGAGCCACCTCACCCGGATCTCGGGCCTCCGCTCGGAGCCCTCTCAGCCCCTTTGACACTGAGACCTTCAACTGGCCTGATGTCCGAGAGCTCTGCTCCAAATATACCTCCCACGACAAGACTGCTCAGGCCGAGAGCAGCTGGCCCCGGAGCCTGCTGGTCAACAGGAGCCGCTCCTTGCCTGAGAACATTATAGAACCTCCTATGTCTGGCAAGGTGGACCGCTGCTGCAGCCTGAACACCAACAGGAACCAGGGAGATGGGGAGGTCTCCCAGCCTCCACCTCCCGAGTCTCCTCCCCAAAGCCGACTGAATGGAGGTGACACCCTGTATGTCACTGCAGACCTTACCCTGGAGAACAACCGGAGAGTGATCATCATGGAGAAGGGGCCCCATCCTAACACCACTGTAGGGCTGGAGGAAGACAGTGGGAAGGGACCAAGTTCCCCAGTAGCTTTGAAGGGACAGGGCCAAGGTTTCCAGGAGTCTGTAGAGCACCAGCCCAAAGAAGATGGTCCCAGGGACTCAGCAGACACAAACAAACAGGGTAGGGTGAGAAACCTGAGGGAGAAGTTCCAGGCCTTGAACTCTGTGGGTTGACTGACTCCTGACGGAGAGAATAGCCATGTGGAGATGGACAGGACCTGGCATGCTTTCTCCCAGGCTTCGCTCACTATGCTGTTCCTCCATTCTTCTGGAAGAGTGGTTTGGGAAATGTGTGAACTCACCTGCTACCTGTGCTGGCCCTTCCCCTCCCCTGGGAGGTCCTATGATGATTGGCCTTAGGTCCAGATGAGCCACTTACCTTCTCTGTAAATACTTCTCTGATAAGAAGCCAACTATTTTATTTAAGCTTATCCTGCCCAGGGAGAGCCAGCACTGCCCTGGCTTACCTTACTGGCTGGCCATTGTCCAGCTGAGAACCCAAAGAGACCTCGGAAGCAGCCTGGGCAGGCTTTACCCTTTAACTTCCTTGTCATAGGATCCAGGCAGGAATGAGGCCAATAATTTATTGCTTACATCCTGTGGTATGTGTGTGTGAGTGAGAGTGTGTCTTGTAAAGAATGTAACGGACTTAGTTCAGGTACTCTTGAAGGTTGTCGCACTGGCCCTGTGGTTGTTGATAATGTGCACACATTTCACTGTTTGTCTATGGTGCAATATTCACTGCTGACCAACCATCCTGTGTGTGGCCTCCTTACTGGGGACATGGATGCTCACTCGATGTCCAGGCATAGCAAACAGAAGACATCAGGGTGCTCACAGGTCAGGTAGGGTACAGAGTGAGAGGCAGGACCTTGTTCGCTGCCACGTCTGCCTCTGTGCACCCCCAGTCTGACATCCTATCTGGGGTGAGGATCCCACATGGGAGCGTTTAGCTCTTTTCCCAAAGACAAAGTTCTAAAAAGCTGGAGCCGCCAGGGGCAAGGGGAACACTTCAGATAAACAGGGCTTTCTAGTGTCCGGTGCCTTTTACTCATCTCTCCCTCTCTGGTTCCCAGGAGAGGGCAAGGGTCCTAAAACCTGACTGAGGCTTGGCAATGCAATGTCCTAAAGCGGTCTTCAGTGTTGTGGAGTGTAAGTGTATTTTATGAGACTAGTTCCTGTCCTTACAGTACCCATAGAAGTATCTAAGGGCCAGGAGTGCCCCATTTCTGAGTGGGTTCTTTTTTTTCCTCAGAAGACCAGCTTTACTTTGTCTGGTTTGTTCTGTCTGGGGCCAGAAAAGAGGGGACTGTAGGCTCTTGGTGATAGAGAGGTCAGTCTCTCTGGTGTACCTGCAAGTCTGCAGGTAGTAAGACCCGGGGAATCTTCCAACCTAGGATGGATCAGATGAGATCTGAACATACCCCACCCCACCCTGATATATCAGGTGAGTGGTGGTCTCCTGGGCAGGAACAGAGAGAGCAGGACTGCAGTAGCCCATGTCCTGTCTGTTCTCTGCAGCCACTGTCAGTCACAAGACAGCTACTGTTTCTGAGCAGGCCAGTCCCAGAATATGACACCTGATAGTGGCCATAAAAGCATTGATAGGTGACTCAAAGTCTTGTCCCAGCCTTGTTCCCAGCCAGCTGGGTCACCCAACTATGTACTCATCTACAGATTGAAGGCTGGATGAGTCACTGTTTCTCAAACTGAATAATGGCATCCAGGGGTGGAGCCTGGGCCATTGTAGCTACTGTCTTTCGGATAATCCTCACACTCCGTGTGTAGGTGTGCCTGGGAACCTCGGACAGGGACAGTAGCATTCACTAATAGAATTATCTGAAGACCCTCTGAACAGTCCTGTGTCCCACACAGGCCAAACAAAACCGTCCTCCTGAAAATGGATCCCAGGACAGATAGGTGATCAGGTTCCTGCTCCCAGAGTTAACAGCCTGAACAGTAGATTGCTTAGAGACGACTTTGCCCTAGAGTTGATTGAACTCTGAATGAGCAAGCTTCCTCGGGTCCCAGATGGGATCTAGGGCCTGGATAGAATCATCCCATCATACCCTCAGGAACAAAGTCAACCCTAGCCATCTCTCTCTTTCCACGGTGCCTTCCCTCTGATGTCCAGTTTAAAGGAAGAAGAGGCTGGTTAAATAAACAGAAACAAACACAGAGTATTATTGATTTATTAGAAAAACTAGTAAATGGGGTTCCTCTGGTTGGTGGAAGCACATTTGAGCAGGTGGAGGACAAGGCCCAGCCAGCCCCAGGACCAGCCCCAGATGGCATGATCTGTGCCCAACAGGGTTTCATTTCTCAACCTTCCATTCACTTTGAGTCCTCCCTGAGCTTGCTTGTCCAAGAGACCGAGCCATGTGGCCTGCTGGTCTCTTCCTCCTCTGAGTCTCTGCCTCCTCTTGGTGATGGAGGAAGGAGATCCAGGACCAGTGCAGGGGACCTGTTGCCCTCCAATAGTCAGGAAGGAGAAGATGGGGGAGGGGAGGGAGCCGAGCCTACACAGACTTCTGTTAGTACCAGTAGAGGTGGGGTGGGAGGGTCCCAGGACCCTCTGCGCCTCCTCAGCCTGCCTGTCCAGGCCCACGACAAAGGCAACAGGGAGGGAAGGAGAGCTGCCCGGCTGTGCCCAGAGAGCTTCCTCTGACCGCCCTGGGGGGAAGCCTGTTATGCTGGTGTGGACTGGAGCTGTGTTAACCCAGTTTGAGAATACTGTCAGGGAAGACTGCAAGTAGAAAATACCAGGAGAAAAGTCAGCCTTTGCTAGGGCACCAGGAGAGCCTGGCCCTGGAGTGCACAGGGTTCCTGCAAAGTCAGTCCAGTATGTGCCTTGGGCCTGGGTGACATGGGTGACAAGTGTGAGGAGCTGGCTGTGATGGTAGGTCACATGCAGCTTACTATCCTTGTACAATCCTTTGCAGTGAAATCCTAACTCTTCCATTGGAGCCTTTTCTTTCTTGGCTCTGTGGAGTCACTGGAAAATTCTCACTTGAGGCGCTACTTGGGTACATGTAGAGGGGAAATGTAGACCGTCATCCCTTGGTCCCCAAAGACTAGGCCAGGGAACCTGCCTGAGGGAGCTGCTTGCCACCTAATGCTTCATCAAGGAGCCCACTTCCTGTCCCAGAGATAGACATGTCCTTCAGTGTACCAAGGTCATTTCTGTTGTCAGGGGTGCAGATGCCTCCCTGGCTACTGCTTTGGTTTTCTCCAGCTGTACAAAGAGGCTGGTGAATGGTGCCCACTATGTTCCCTGTAGGAGAGAGTTAGAGTTCTATACACTGAGGCCAAGTTACAGACTGGCTGTGGAGATGAAGAAATCAGGCCCCACTGGCTAAGATGGTCATAGTCTACTGGAGTTGAGTTCATACTCAGATCATGTTGGGGGTCACAGGGTGCAATAGATATCTGAGCTATACCTGTCTGGTCAACAATGAGGGGTTCTGGGAAGGCCTAGTAATTGTATGCCTACCATTGAGCCTTACCCATGGGGAAGGCAGTAGAAACTGGCTCTGGGCCCTAGGGACACAGATGGTCTCCTAGGTGAAAAGGCTCCTTGCCCTCACCTTAACCATCTTTTGGATCTAACTCCAGCTGCCATGTTGGGCTGGAGCTGCGTTGCTTTCAGTTGTGAAGCAGAGCGTGCCTGCAGGACCAGTGATCCTCCCTAGGCATGGGAAAGCACTCCCCAGGGACAGGCTACAGAGCCCCTCCCCCGTAGATGCTTGAGGGGGGATAGTAGATATTTGGTGATCTCTACACCATGTGACCCCCAAAAAATCTAAGACTAGGTCTGCAGAAACCAACCAAGAGGAGTCACACCTTTATAAACAATAGCCTCAACATCCATCCCTATGTTCCAGAGGGTAATTGTGTCACAAGTCTGCATTTGTCACCCCTAGGTAAGGAACAGCTCTGTGTCCAGCCACTGGCCTGGATGGTGCCAGCTGCAGGGTCGGGGGGCACAGGGGGCATGTAGCTTGGAGATACTTGACTGCAGGACCTGGGTATTCAGCTTATATCTGGCACCAGCCCTGGCCACATACTGCCTGTTTGGCTGCAACTGGGAATGGGAGAAAGAGCCGCAATATAGGCAGAGCCTTAAGCAGTGTTGGGACCTGTCTGTCCCTCCTGTGACAGAGTTCTGAACCCTAAGCTGTACCAGGGTTTCCAAGAGAGTGGTGTGAGGGCTTCTGGTTGATGCCAGGAGGATCAAAGGGTGTCATAGGGAGGAAGAGGCTCATTCACTCGGGACTCACCAAAACTCTTAGGAGTATGAGAAGAAAAAAGAAGGGACATACTAGCCCTGAGGAGAGAGTCCTATCTCTGAAGGAGCCCAGTGGGAGGAGACTGGCAGTACTCAAAGCTTGGCATCCATATTGTCTCCTTGGTACTCCACCAGCCCCTTGTCCAGAGCTGGTTCTGAAGGCCCTTCCTCCTGCCCCTAAAGAACAGGGCAACCATCGTCAATATTCGTTTGTTTCCCTGACTGACTATGCTCAGTGACCCCAAAGGGGATTTGTGTGGTACTGGGCAGTGCTGGAGGAAAGCCATCAGGCGTCCCAGCTCGTAGGCAGCAGGAGGAGAATATATGCCTTACAGAACCATTTCCAGCCCCAAAGGAGCTGGACCTCCAATCCCTGGAGCCCAGCCAGCTGCATGGGGTAGGGGAGGTGGAGGGCTGTTGGCAGGCATTGGGAAGGCCAGGGAGGCCAGGCAGGCAAGGCAGCTATTGCAGTGCAGTGTGGGGCCCTGGGGCTGGCCCGGCAACTTGAGCAGGCAGGCTGCAGGCAGTGAGTGGCAGGCGGGAGGAGGACTGGCCACTGCAGAGGTCGAGGCCATGGGCTCCTTGTCCTTGCATGTCCCAGTGCACACTGCAGTGCTGCCTGGCAGACCCCGCCCACAGGGGCCCCCAGCTGCTACTTCTTTTTAGGGAAGAAGCTAAACCTCTTCTCCTTATCCTTCTTGCCGACGCTGGCATCAGGACCAGTCAGGGAAGGCAGAGGCAGACTCTGCGCCTTGACACGGATGCTCTGGGACTCGTTGATGGCTGTGCTCATGCTCTGTAGCCACAACAGCATCTCCTCCTACGGGGTGGAAATTTCAAGGAGTCTAGGGGTACACAGCCCTCCTAGGACCATGAAGGGATGGGTGTGCCTCTATGACTGCTCCCTTCTGAGGGAGCCCCGAGATCAGGTTTCCACCCACCTCATTAGCCCATCTGAGTTAGGCTGCCTGTACTTACCTCATCCTTGCCATGGAAGAGCCACTCACTGCCATTGCTTAACCTAGGAAGACAAAGGATTTTGGGTCATCGTACCATCTCCAGAAGTCTTAACCTGAGTAGAGGGCTAGCCACTATTCTACAGCCTAATATTCATTCCCCTGTAGGGCAGCAGACCACCCGAAAAAGCTAAAAGTCTATAAGACCACCAATCTTTTAATTTAAAAACACCCAAGGAAGAGCTCCAGCTGGGAGCTGGTCTACAGCACATCCCCACCTGGTCGTTAATGCTCAATGAAGCATCAAGATTCAAAAGGCTTAGGGCTCGGGTAGGCGTGCTGGGCAGCAAACCTCACCTCAGCTTAAATACATGCTTCTTCTTCTTATAGTTGACAGCAATCTCACAGATGGCGTGCCTCAGGGCCAGGGGCTCCTCTCCATGGTAGGGCACCCCAAGGGCTAGGTTCTTAGCATCCTTGTAGAAGGTCAGCTGGCTGTTCTTGAGCACAC